GTTATTTAGAGTTCAAATGATGATTTAATAAATCGGCAATAATGGCAATTCTACTAGTCAAATGAAAATTCCTTGGTAAAATTTAGGAAAAGGTTTCGCACAATAGCTTGTTACCTTGTTTTGCATTTATAATTTTACGAAACGGCGTTAGTGCGCTTTATGCAGAACTAGGAATTGATACGATAACCTAATATGACTCCTCAAATTTGTTATTTTCTGTTTGTTAGCAAGAGCCGTTGGCTAATTCTCGCGGAATTCAAGAAATTTGTACAGTGACGCGCAAGTTCCGTGTCTAAGCGAAGCATCCTAGGTACTCGATATATGAGTAGCAAAATGACATTCTAATACACAAGGGAATGACGTCGAAAGATTATTGTTACGTGACGATACACGGCGGGTTGTTTTTCGGTAGGCGATCCAAGTTCGCCCCCCCCCCCTAAATTATGGAAAGTGGGCGGCCCTGATTTGAAACCGAGAATATCGGAGAGAACATTCAATGCTCCTACAACTTTGGCATTGACAAAATAAATCTTGATGTACTTACCCAGACCATAGCATTCGGAAGAGTTCAAAGTTGTTATGTTGTCTAACTCTACATTTCCGGATGCCTCAAGCTCAAGTTGGACCTGAATCAAAAAGAGATTGAAGTTTGAGAAGAGCTGCGAGGTAAAGTCTAGAGTGGAAGTCGAAAGTGCTTCCAGTGTGAAATCGGATTTGAACTTTCTAACTACGGAGTCAGCACCCGGGATTCCAGATTTCTAAATGTGAAGATCGAAGACAATTTTCAGACATATCGCGAAAAGCATTACGTTTACTAAGCATTCTCAACATGCTTGCATGAAATTAAGTTTTTGTGAGAAACTTTTGGTTTTCTTGGTTTGACTTAGACTGCAATGTTTCCCAAACTTTTTGAGCAGCCGATCCCTGTTTGTGAATCTTAATATTGACGGACCCCCATCATATGCCTTATCGATTCCTGTGCGTAGTCAACTACCGTCTCACACATGTATGTGGGTCGTTGCAAAAGGCAATAAAATGAAAATGGCATTTTCTGGAAGCTATGAAAATTCGTCGGCAACACTCAACCTTAAAATACTATGGCTTTTTGATTGAAATCAATCATGAAAAATCGATTAGACTCATTTCATATTGTTGCCCCCTGCGCACTATATTTAAAAGATTTTTGCTAACAAATGTGTTGCAAACCTCTGTATCTGTAGAGTTCACTTTCTTTAAAATGAATTTCTCGGTTTTCCAGGTAGTCGAGGCAGAAAACGGCCAGATTGCTTTCCTAAAAATTACGAAACATATCATTGCTGTCTTCACATAGACTTACAAAATAAATCACAATCAGCTATATTTTTCGTTTTCCTGTAACCTCATTTATATGCAATCCATTATTCAGCTTTTGTACTGAGCGGATCAACTTTAAAGTACCTAAAGCCTCCCACTAATCAGTATTTTCTAATGTGTAATGCACAGATATAGTTTCGGCAGCTCTTCACATTACAGTGGTTGTCAGTAATTCTGTTCACAGATGATCCTCGGATGGAAAATTTTTAAAAAAGGGGTGTGCAACCTTTAATACTAAGGGCCAAATACAAATAACTGGGTGAAGCCACGGGCCGCATCTTTATTTAACATTGGCTTTGCGTGACAACATGACATGCGTTGTTCATAGCATAGATAATATATTGGACCGAGGTATAGGTTTTGCAAAGAGATTGGAATCACTCCCACGTATCAGATTGAACTAAATTGAAAATTTTGTTTTGCATGTCGCACATTAATCAAATCTGGCACTATTTTGCAGGTCGCACAATTATTTTTGTGGGCCGCATTTTGCATGCTGGCGACAGGATGCACATCCCTGAAACACTGAATTTCAAATTCCGTTATTGGTTTTTAAAAATAATAACTCTTTACTGCACAGTGACTGCCAATACAAACATGCTCTAGAGCAGGGGTTCCCAAGCTTTTTCAAGATGACCCCAAAGACAACTTTCAAGTGTCCAGTGCGACCCCAGGTCAATAGATATATTTTTCATAAAACTTTACAGCTTAGTCTCTGGACTTTTGAGTTTGGTCATGTGATATTATTAGGTAAAATAAGCTAAAACCAAACAGTGATGTCACAATAAGCACCTACATTTTCTATAGCATAAGCATAGAGCGATGCCTATAGGCCTGTTTTACAGTAAGCCATGGTACAAACTGCTAAATTTAACATGTTTTGTCAAATCTTAGATGTTTTGTACATCCATCCTCAACCATACATTAGCGATCCCACCGACCTGTTTGCGACTCTACCTACTTATGACTCGACTCAATTTGGGGTCCCGACGGTCCTGGGCCTTGGGAACTCCTGCTCAAAAGTAAAAGCGGAAAAAAGTCACGTAAAAAAAATGAATGCAGTGTTAGCTACTCACGTTACAGTTCCATTGTGAGCCTTGGCCACCAGTTCTCCGTCTGATGTATCTTTTATGTCGACACTCATGCATAGTTCCTCATTGCCAGCCAAAGCCTTGGGTAAGGATCTGATTGTACCGTTACCAGCAAGAACATAACCTAGGATGAATTAGAATAAAACAATTAGAGTGTATCTGGTGGGAGAGATGGAAACACAGCATCTTTCAATTCTTTGTGAGAGAGTCTAAAATCTGACCGCGCAATAACATGGCGTAGTTTGGCGCATCATGCTAAGCGGTAGAAATGCGCGTTCTATCGAGAGGCCGTGGTTCGCCGTATAATTGAGTCGTCTTGTCAGCTTTCTTCATCTCACTCACTCACTCAGAAGTAAATGAGACTCAGTTGTAAGCGAAGTTACAGGTACTCACTAAGAAGTAAAGGAGACTCATTTGTAAGCGAAGTTACAGGTACTCACTCAGAAGTAAAGGAGACTCATTTGTAAGCGAAGTTACAGGTACTCACTCAGAAGTAAAGGAGACTCAGTTGTAAGCGAAGTTACAGGTACTCACTAAGAAGTAAAGGAGACTCATTTGTAAGCAAAGTTACAGGTACTCACTCAGAAGTAAATGAGACTCAGTTGTAAGCGAAGTTACAGGTACTCACTCAGAAGTAAAGGAGACTCATTTGTAAGCGAAGTTATAGGTACTCACTCAGAAGTAAAGGAGACTCATTTGTAAGCGAAGTTACAGGTACTCACTCAGAAGTAAAGGAGACTCATTTGTAAGGGAAGTTACAAGGACTCGCTCATATGTAAAGGAGACTCATTTGTAAGCGAAGTTACAGGTACTCACTAAGAAGTAGAGGAGACTCATCTCTGAGCAAAGTTACGGGCACTCACTCAGGAGTAAAGGAGACTCATTTGTAAGCAAAGTTACGGGCACTCACTCAGAAGTAAGAAGACTCATTTGTAAGCAAAGTTACGAGTACTCACTCAGAAATAAAATTGACTCATTTCTGTCATTTGTAAGCAAATTTACTCAGAAGTAAAGGTGACTCATCCAAGCGTTTAATATAGAAACAATACCTGTAACGCCATTATCTCTGTATTCTCTCTGAAATGTTCCATTAACTCTAGTGTAGCCGCATGTAGGGTTGGTTGAAGACTCAAAATCACATGTAAGGTCGACTGAAAAACACAAAAACCTTTTTTAGAGTCCGAGCCTCATATTCTGGCCTAAACCGACTATTGTTTCATTCTGAACAGGTCTATCGGATGAAATTCACAATTGACATCGGGTTGAAACAATTTCAATACCGACTCAGATTTGAATTCCAAAGATAATCAAATGTCAGAATGTCAGACTTTCAATGGTGACAAGTCAAAATTAGCTATCAAAATTTAAAAAGTAAGTTTGCTAAACAGTGTATTTAGAGGCTTGCATGGATTGGACTTAAAGAGCAAACTTTAAATATTAGTCAGATTAGGAGTTAGCTCCACCCCTGGAGTATGCGTACCAAGATGGCGGACACTGAAACGTAGTATGTGTACCAAGTCATAATTTTAGGTTAAAATAGCCTACTACGGGAGTCACTTGGTTAGTCCCCGAACTCATAATAGAACTGATAATAAATGAGGAAAATTGGAATAAAATTATCCTAAACCTAACCTGGTACACCGTTGTGTTGAATGATAGGGATCCCGTGCGAAGAGATATGAGCGAAAATATCGCCAGACTCCGCGCCGACGCTGGTAAGTTACGGCTCTGATTCAGTGCATTTTTTATCTAATAGTTTTAAGCAAAAACACTCTCAAAATTAACGTCAAAGTATAAAAATAAAGTCAAAGGTCAAACGTCCATTTTTGCCCTGATTCAACGTATTTTTTTTAACCAGCAATTTTACGCGGATGTACTAAACAGTACCGATATTTAAAGTCGCACAAACACTCTTAAAATTAATAGCAAACGCATAACAAAAATGTTGGGGGTCAAAGGTCAAACGTCCATTTTTGCTCTGATTCAACTATTTTTGTAACCAGCAATTTTATGCGGATGTACTAAATAGTACCGATATTTAAAGTCGCACAAACACTCTTAAAATTAATAGCAAAAGCATAACAATAACGTTGGGGGTCAAAGGTCAAACGTCAATTTTTGCTGTGATTCAACAATTTTTTTATCCAATAATTTTACGAGGATGCATTGAACAGCATAGCATCTAAAGTCAAAGTCAGTTGCACGCGAGCGCAGTCGTTTTGCACGGCGTTAGCTATAATTGCACGCCTGGAATTCTGATTTGCACGCAGGATTTGCATGCGAGAATTTCTGATTGCACGCCCGATTTCTCGTTCAAAAAGGCCATGAAATCCAGACTGGTGCCATTACCCGTTCATGTTGGGTTTAGAGATAGTTACTAGTTAATTGTTTCAGATACACAGACTAGATGGTGAGAAAGCTGTAAACGACCAGCGATTATGTGATAGCGAGGGGTCCATCAATACTCTCGCACATAATTATCCCTTAATGGAACCAACGAACACCTCGGAGTTTGGAAAATTATGCACGATTAAACAGCGCTATGTGAACACTTACCTACGCAAGTGGGCACCTCACCCCAGGTTCCATTTTCTCTGCATATTCCAATGTTTGATCCTTGAAGAACATACCCAGCATTGCATGAATATTCGATAGTCTGATTGACCTCGAAGGCAGTTGCGATGTTCACAGTCCCGTTGTCTGGAGCTTTAGGGGCTGGGCAGGTACGTACTGTAACAGAATATTGAAACAAGTATTGGAGAGAGTTGTGAAATATTTTATGACTACATACAGAAATTAAACTTGTTTTCAAACTTAAATAAAAGATCTAAACAATGTCAGCAACCATTCAATTTGCAAAAAAACGTCACCCACCCTCTCTTCTATAGTTTCGTACTTGAGGTACTAAACTACACGAAACCCTAATTTTTCACAGTGTGGTGACCAAACTTCACAACAGACATGGTTTTTGGAGCGAGGGTAAAAAATATTTCCCACCTGGTCTGGCGGGCCATAAAAGTGTGACGTAAAAAGTTACATTTTATGAATAATATTTACAGTGTTACAAAAGCAAAAGTGGAAACAATAGGCCTTGTGTCAAAACTAAATTAAATAGCAATATCAACAAATTCCTTGAGCTATTTTTAACTGAAACAGTAAAATTTGGTTTTATTTTGGGGGACCAGATGAAATTACCCATCAGGCCTGATTTGACCCGCAAGCCGCAGGTTGCCCATGTCAGATTATTAAGATACTGGATGGGGAAAACTACAACTCGTCACAGCCTTTCGTGCGGTTAATCAGGTCTTGGAGAAATTTGTGGAAACTACATACAGAAATTAGATTTGTTTTTTAAACTTAAGATGAAACACTCCCAAAATTGATGTCAGAGTAAAAAAATAATGTTTGGGGTCAAAGGTCAAACGTCCATTTTTGCCCTTGATTCAAAGTATTTTTTTTAGCCAGCAATTTTACGCGAATGTACTAAACAGTACCGATATTTATAGTCGCACAAACACTCTTAAAATTAATAGCAAAGTATAAAAATATTGTTGGGGGTCAAAGATCAAACGTCCATTTTTGCTCTGATTCAACAATTTTTTATCCAATAATTCTACGAGGATGTATTGAGCAGCATAGCATCTAAAGTCAAAGTCATTGCACGCGGGCGCAGTTGTTTTGCACGCCGTTAGCTATAATTGCACACCGGGAAGTCTGATTTGCACGCAGGAATTTCTGATTGCAACCCCGATTTCTCGTTCAAAAAGGCCATGAAATCCAGACTGGTGCCATTACCCGTTCATGTTGGGTTTGGAGATAATTACTCGTTGTTTCAGATACACAGACTAGATGGTGAGAAAGCCGTGAACGACCAGCGGTTATGTGATAGCGAGGGGTCCAGCAATACTCTCGCACATATTTAATCCCTAATGGAACCACCGAACACCTCGGAGTTTGGAAAAATATCCACGATTAAACAGCGCTATGTGAACACTTACCTACGCAAGTGGGCACCTCACCCCAGGTTCCATTTTCTCCGCATTTTCCAATGTTTGATCCTTGAAGAACGTATCCAGCATTGCATGAATATTCGATAGTCCGATTGACTTCTAAGGCAGTCCCGTTGTCTGGAGCTTTAGGTGCTGGGCAGGTACGTACTGTAATAGAATATTGAAATAAGTATTGGAGAGAGTTGTGAAAATTTTTTATGACTACATACAGAAATTAAATTTGTTTTCAAACTTAAATAAATAATCTAAACAATGTCAGCAACCATTTAATCTGCAAAAAAACACGTCACCCACCCCCTCTTCTATAGTTTCTTACTTGAGGTACTAAACTACACGAAACCCTAATTTTTTACAGGCGGGAGTGGGTTCGTACTTCAAGTATTCTAGTGGCGTAGCAAAACAATTTTTACATAGGTCAATAAGGTGACCAGACTTCACAACAGACATGGTTTTTGAAGCAAGGGCCAAAAATTTTGCCCAACCGGTCTGGCGGGCCATAAAAGTATTTGAATTTGGCCTGATCGAAAAATGCGAAGCAAAAAAGACCATATTTCCTAATTGCTTGGCGGTAATCCGCATCAGGTTGAATGATAGGGATCCCGTGAGAATAGTTATGAGCGAAAAGATCGCCAGACTCCTCGCCGACGCTGGTAATTTGCGGCTTTGATTCAGCTAATTTTTTTTCTATACACTCCCAAAATTAATGTCAAAGTATAAAAATAATGTTTGGGAGTCCAACGTTCAAACGTCCATTTTTGCTCTGATTCAACTATTTTTTTAACCAGCAATTTTATGCGGATGTACTAAATAGTATCGGTATTTAAAGTCTCACAAACACTCTTAAAATTAATGGCAAAGTATGATAATAATGTTGGGAGTCAAAGGTCATACGTTCATTTTTGCTCTGATTCAACTATTTTTTTAACCAGCAATTTTATGCGGATGTACTAAATAGTACCGGTATTTAAAGTCTCACAAACACTCCCAAAATTAATAGCAAAGTATGATAATAATGTTGGGAGTCAAAGGTCATACGTTCATTTTTGCTCTGATTCAACTATTTTTTCAACCAGCAATTTTATGCGTATGTACTAAATAGTACCGGTATTTAAAGTTATTTATTAACGCCACGAGGCGGCCCATCGTTGTCACACGTTTTCATTTTGAGAAAATTTGCTTCTGCTTGGGACCAACGTTGTCATGCGTAACCCTACGCGCACAAACGATGTTCCCTGGATTTCTAACTCACTACTGATTTTTTGAGTAATATTCAATAAATTCAAAACGAAAATGTTCTATAAATTTTCCATGCTACAAGTTCAACTAGAAGTAATATATGTATTCAAAATATTGCTATTTAATTTAGTTATGACACGAGGCTTATTGTTTTCCACTTTTGCTTTTGTAACACTGTAAATATTGTTCATAAAATGTAACTTTTTACGTCACACTTTTATGGCCCGCCAGACCAAGTGGGAAATATTTTTGGGCCTTGCTCAAAAAACCATGTCCAAGTCTGGTCACCACATTGACCTATGTAAAAATTGTTTTGCTACGCCACTAGAATACTTGAAGTGCGAACCCACTCCCCCCTGCAAAAAAAAATTACATTTTATGAACAGTATTTACAGTGTTACAAAAGCAAAAGTGGAAAACAATAAGCCTTGTGTCAAAACTAAATTAAATGGCAATCTCAACAATATCCTTGATCTAAATTAGGTTTTATTTTGGTTGTGGCATAATCAAGTGGGCCAGATTAAATTACCCAACAGGCAGACAGGCCGTATTTGGCCCGCAGGCCGTAGGTCGCCCATGTCAGATTAAAATCCTGGACGGGGGAAACTACAACCCCATAGCTTTTGCCTTTTTTGTTGCGTCAGTCAAGTCTTGGAGAAAGTCTGAAAGTTGTGAAAACTACATACAGAAATTAGATTTGTTTCAAAACTCAAAAATGTCCCGTCATTTTGTCCAATAAAACAAACACTTCCATGTGTCTCACAAACGTGGGGCGTCTGGCACCACGTCAGATCACGTCAGGGGCGCAGCCAGCGGGAGGGGGTTACATGGGTCGTATGGGCCCCTCCACTGGCTTGCTCGATTGGGGATTATCGTAGAGTGGAAGTGGTGACTCTTCTACGGCCCATGGGCCAGGGCCATCAGACTATAGGCCACGGCCCATCGAGTTGTGTGAAGGGACTATTCACTTGGTCCCCGAACTCATAATAGAACTATAATGTGAAAAATCTGAACAAAATTTCGTCCTAACCCTAACCTGGTACACATACTACAGGAGTATCCTTTTCTGTTGCTTGGTATTTTGCTTTATTTTTATATAAAGGCTTATCGTAGTAAAAAAATTTGGTGGCATCCCGCGACTTTTTTTTTGGTTTGAATATTGACAATTTTGTAAAAATTGAAAATTTGGGTCTCGTGTAGTTTCGTGCCTTCCAGGGGGGGTTCCATAGCAAAACAATTTTTTGAAATGTCTATCCTAACCCCCATCTGACTCAGTACGCCATCCAAAAAATAAATCACTACGACATCACAATCATGTCATAGAGCTTGCCAAATATACGCACGATCGACCGAAATGGCATTGGCGCCGACGATAAAGAACTGACTGACGTTGTCGATCTCTCTCCTATTGGAATCGTTGAAACGAGAAAAATAACTGTTCGATTTCGGTTGCTCGTTTGCGCGTCTTGGATGGCAGTTCCTATCGTTTGAAGGGCTCTATTACGTCTGTACGTCACTGTGACGTCGTAATGACGTAATTTTTGGATGGTGTAGTCAGGTGGGGGTTAGGATTGATACGTGAAAAAATTTTCATGCTACGCACACTAGAAGTATGTTAGGTACGAAACTACATTAGACCCGAAAATTTTGGTAGGATAATTCAATTTTTTCTGATGGGCCGCGGCCCATAGCTTGATGGGCCACGGTCTATGTGGCCAAATGGCTGGACTTGCTATGGAATAGCTAAACTTTTTATTTGTAAGAAAACAACTCACCTACCAAAAATGAACAAAAAAAAAACGTGAGTAACAGCGATTTCTCGGTCTAGTACGTTCAGTTTAGTCCCACAAGATGGCGTACATAGTCTGAGCGTTGCCTCGCTTTATGACCTTCTGACCTTTGGTGCTGTCGTTTCGCTGTGAGATTCGAGAAATCGCGGTCTGGTATAGTTGAGTACCAAAAGTACTTCTAGTGGGCGTAGCATAACAATTTTGGCATGTGGCATTCCTCCCTCTGTCATCCAAATTTAAACCGTTATGTACGTCATCCAAAAAAGACCCGCCAAAATATACGAACGTTTTCGCAAGAATTTATATTTTTTTGGATGACGTAGTCAGATGATGGTCAGGAATGACCACTGCCAAATGGTTATGCTACGCCCACTAGAAGTACTTTTGGTACTCAACTATATCAGACCGCGATTTCTCGAATTTCACAGCGAAACGACAGCACCAAAGGTACCTGTACTTGTTGTACTAAACTACTTTACACGCCGATTTCTCGAATCGCAGAGCGAACGACAGCACCAAAGGTCAGAAGGTCATAAAGTGAGGCAACGCTCAGACTATGTACGCCATCTTGTGGGAATAAATAAAATCATTTTTCAAGAATAATCTTTTAGGCGAATGTTAATAACTTATAATCAAGTAAATACATTTAGTGTTTTTGGGATTCGTTTTCACATCTCACTCCAAGCAAGTCGCTAGAGAAGACAATTACTAGTACATAAGGATCTACTTTTCTTGGAAGTGTCACAATTTACCTTTACTGGACCTCAGGTATTGAGGAATTCCTACTTAATATATTTGACGCGTACTAAAAAGCGCTTAGAGGAGAAATATTTTCCGAGTAAAAAACGAGAAAGAGGAGGCCACACCAACCTGTACTCTGTTCGACTTTTGTAGTTTGTGGGCGAAAAGTAGAGAAAAAGGCTTCCTTAGTTGACCACGGGGATGTAGCAGGGGCGGTAGTTTTCTTGTCTTTGTATCCTGTGTGAAAAAGTGAGTTGATATTACAATTTTAAAGCAAGATTCATAGTTTTAGGTGCTTTAAGGAAAGAATGAGATACTGATTGGCAGTGCAAACTTTTTGTTTTTCAACGTTTTCGCATAATCGCCGTATTACTAATTACTATGACTGAAGAGGACTTTTTGTTCTAGTGTATGCTTGAAAGACTTAGATTTTCTCACCCTGGGGAGTGGTCGTTTCTTTGACATCTACAACCGAGGGATGCACTGAGTTCGTACTTAAATCTTCCAACCTCTTTTGTAATTGATCGAGCATACTTTCCGTCTCGTGTACTTGTTCCGTTAAAGCTGGGAAACATAAATATAAACAAATATTCAATTGAGCCATCAGTTTCACAGTCCATTATTAGTGAATTTTTTGTTGGAAGATATGTACCCTCACTCTCTGGGTAAAAATAAGAATATGAGACGGGTATTGCTAAACTACACGTCATGATTCAATTCTTCAAAATGGCGCAATAAAAATATAAAATATTTGAATTTTTCAATAGAACGATTGTTTGACAAATATGAAAACATGGCAAACGTATTTCGAAGAAAACTATATTGTGGACACGAACCTTCCAGAGCCTCCTCTTGTTCTTTTGTGCACTGTCTCTCCTGAAATAGAACAAGAGAGTAATATTTTAATATACGGATATGAAGGCTGCACATCCGTGCAGTAAGGGCTCAGCAGAGCAAGGGTTATCATATGCCGTGAAAAAGTGTCTCCATGAATTAAATGAAAAACGTAAAATCTGGGATGAGGTATCGATTAAGATAAGTTTCGGTACTTATAGAATGATGGAAGAAATTTCTAGAAAATTCAATTTTTTCATTTTATTTTCAGATTGCAAACCAAACAGTTCAATTCCTGCAATAATACCACCAGTATGAAACTACTACTACAGCTCTCACCGTATTAACGTCTCTCCAAGTAGGTTGATCGTCGCAAATCATAGGCATCCAGCATTGCTCACCTGTTAAGAGGAAATTAGAATTAGAGTCGAGCGAAATAACAGTTTAAAAATAAGTTTATGACAGATAAACGAAAGTTATGTTACTGAACTTTTTTCATAACGAGACTAGTTCAGTACCTATTTCCTTATGGCGCGCTTTCGCTCATTCCATATTTAATTTCATACTGCTACCCACGTCATGCGAACGAACTATTTTCCTCGATGATGATTGGTCGAATCAAATTTGTAAAATTACGCCCGCCATTGGGAAACCTAACAATGTTTAGCGGTCTTGCGGGCGTGGGCGAAAATCCGACCGATCACCGCGATTCAATTTCTGGTTTCTGAGAATCGATTCAATTTTTCTGGCAAGCAATAAACTCGGGAAAGTTGAATTCCCCCCTAGTTTGCTGCTACCTCTATACGCCTTTCTACCCGAACAAGACTCTCTGTGAACGAACGGCCACTAATACGTAATGTTGATTCGGCAATGCTTAATCAGTTAACAACACCCTGGGTGAGGTGGTGGGTATGAAGTTGAACCCAACATTCTAACTCGCGATGCCAGAATATCTGAGTCAAACGCTTTACCAATGGGCCACCACACCCGCTAATCTATAAGCGATTTTTCACTTCTAAACATTTGAGTGTACGTGACGATATTTAAAATGTAAGTTTAAAAACAAAAAAAAACCTTTCATAGAAGATTTCGAAGCAAAAAAAAGTTTTACAATGAAGGAGGGATCATTTAGTAAGATCTACGGTCAGGACGGAATTTCGACGATAAGAGGCCCTAGGCTGCGCTGTTTGTGAGGCTCCTCTTAAATAATGACGTCATAAAGACTCATTATGGCGTCATAAATGAATTGCGTGGCATTTTAGCTGCTGGCAAAATACGTAGCAAATCGTCCAAGTAGATTGGGTAGTTGATTTAGAAACTCTGGCCGTAACAAAATACCACGAAACCGGAGCACCGTTTTTCAAATTTATACAAATTCATTATTTCACAGTTTTTAATTTTCAAAACGGTAAATATTCGGGACGAGAATTTATTTGATTAATATCTGCTTTATAAAATTCTAACCCTGTTTTACTCTGGAACAATCTTTTACAATTTAAAAACGACTTGAAACTAATAATAGTTTTAAAATGGAATGCCGAGGCCCCTAAGATTTGAGGCCCATAATCTTTAGCTTACGTTGCCTGGTAAATCCGGCCTTTTTACGGTACAGCAACGCATTCAATACGTGGCAAAATAAACGAGGTGTTCGAGGGAAAAATCTATCAGATAAAATATCATTATTTTAAATATAAATGTCGGTTTAACCGTCATCGAAAGACCGAGGTTTGTCATAGCATTACACCGCCATACCGGCGGTGTTCCTGTACGTCGTAATAAATAAATATTCCCCCAGATACAAATATGCCAGCCGTGACGCTAGAAACAGATAAGAAATTTGTCAATAGAACTATGTCAATTCACAGTGTCGCCATGCCGCATATATTAGCTAAAGCGCTGATCAACGGGTGTTCCCTGAAGTATTCGTACCAAGATGGCGCACAACCTGAACATAGTATGTGTACCAAATCAAGGTTTTTCAGGTTGTGCGTCATCTTGGTACGAATACTCCCGGAGCGCCAAAAATTGCGCAAAAAGACGATGAAAAAACACTTTATTTCTCGAATTTAACAAATTTTAACATCTTATAAATGTACTCGTTAATCTGGATTCGATAGTTAGAAGAGAATAAAGCGTTCATGCCGTTTAAATATTAATGGCCTGATTTTTGGAGTCTTCATATAATTTTTAGATAACTAACCCTCTGTACAAAGCAATAATTTTCATGTTTGAAAATCGCTGAGGAGGTTTTCAATGTTTATTTTACTTTTTGCTTTAGTATAATCAGCAATTAATACTACCCGATTAAAAAAACAGCGCTCCAGAAGTATGTGCACCAAGATGGCGGACACCGGAACGTCGTATGTGTGCCAGGTTAGGCCATAATTTTTAACCTAACCTGGTACACATACGGCGTTTCGGTGCCCACCATCTTGCTGCACATACTTCTGGAGTGCCAAAAACAGCGTTAACACTATGGAATAAAGTAAGGAGTACCTCACCACCTGGTATTAAATATTCGAAGAAAATACTACAGTGCGCCCCAAAAAACAAAACAAAGGCAAGCAAGCAAACCAACAAAGCACGCACGGTTATTTATACTGACCTTTAATCAATAAATACGCCTCCACCAACAGTATTAGTCCGATGAAACTGGCTCGAATCGGAATCTTCATTTCGAATGCAAAAATTTCGTCTTTTTTTTTCTTCAATGAGAGTCGATGTTCGAACAACGTAGGTTAAAATGAAGCTTCAGTCTATTTGCATCGGAATATATCTCATGCAAGCTCACTCACTACTCTAAAGCGGAAAGATAAATTGTTTTCTCTCTTTTAAATTTTAGGATACGTGTTGCGTCACAAAAAAGAGAGTTTGTTAAATGCTGCTCTTTCTATCTTTGGGAAACGATGACGACGACGTCACAACCACACCCGTCAGAGCAATATTTGGTGGAATTTTGCGCGATATGGCGATATATTATATATGCGCGATATATTAGCCGCCACCATGTTTCCGAATTTATGAGAATACAGGCCAAACATGTCTTGCCCGCTCCCAATATTGCGGGGCCCTTGGCGAAACGGATTTTGCTGGCGCATTCTGGGTAGATATAAGTATATTAACTAAAAATTAAAAGTTTAGGCTCAATAATGATTCTGAATCTGAATTCCTAGCCTTCACCCGAACTGGATATTTACTGATTATTTTATTTTGAGCGGTGGCGGATAATTTTTTTTTTTTTGACCAAAATTTCCTTCTCTAATGTTTTCAATGCACGGCCCTATTTTCTTAGCGTAATGCACGAATCGTCACCAAGATCGTGGTGTTTGGTAACTATCGGTGTCAAAAGTCTGATGCTTCTGGTCTTGGAATTTCCTCTCGAATAACAGTTTAGCGGTGTTCACCAGTCGAATATAAGATTTTGGAGGTCGAATATAGAATTTTGAACGTCGAATTTAGGATGTTGGACGTCGAATATAAGATTTTGGACGTCGAATATAGGATTTCAAACGTCAAATATAGAATTTTGGACGTCGAATACTCGGTTCACCTGCTTCGGAAGAGCAGAACAAGAAATCGCCACATTAATTAAACGCCGCGTCGCCAACTTCCAGTCGTTATGAAATAGAGATTTGAACAACCTTGGATTCGCTACACGCAAAGCTTGTAAAGTCACTTTAATCATGATTTTGTACCAAGTTAAAAAGCTAGTAAAAGGATAAAACGACATCTTGGTTGTAAAAAGTTATTATTATATTTTTTTTTATTCCTCCGCGCAATTTTTGAAGCGACTTCTGGCTGATTCGAGCAAGTCAGTATGCCGTATTTTACGGACCACAAGGCGCACACAAAGTCCTTTTATGAATCAGTTACACAAATGTATGGATCAGCTAAAGCTACACTCAACACCAGTGCTGGTACCGGCTGCGCCTTTTAACTTAGTGCGAATTATGTACAGAGAAAGCCTCAGCCCATGCATTTAATGACGGTGCCCCATAACCCCGGTACCCACCCCCGGTTCGCCATATATCAATGTAGAGTAATCAGTAATCAGTAGTTTATTTTCTCACCATACTAAATGCACACTTGATATACAAATTGCAATAAATAAATAAAAGGCATTTCAGAGTAGCAGATGTCACATGAACTTGTTCGGCGTTACGTGAGTTGATTTCATAGATGGGCAAGCGATTTGAGTCGCATATGTCTGTTCCGTTGATCACAATATTCCATGGCCATGTGTTAGTGCGATGAACTTATGTTTGTGCCACAGTTGAACTAGGATAAATAAGTTAGATTGGCTTCCAAATGGATGTATAGACCTTTGGTCCAAGCCTGGCACTAGATAACATTTATCAAATATGTAGGTATGGTATAGCATATGACGCTGAGAACCTGATCATCAAAACTTCCTGTGCAATTCCAGCTACAGATCGTTCAACTTAATTTTCTTTGTATTGTTCATAGGTGACGCCATGATTTCAAAGTATCGCATTTCCAAAACACAATCGTGATTATACGATATTATTATCGTTTAAAAAATCGCGAAAGTTCACATCAATCCTTTACTTTCTGTGCAAACAGCCCATTACCACTAAATATATCACCAAGATATTCTGATTATATGTTTAATCAAAGCCTTCATTATATTTTCAAAAATTGACATATCACACGTAGTCTAAATGGATTGAAATACCGCGATTCAAGGACTAAAACGAGTTGGATTTTGCTACTATGAAAATTTGCAAGGTTTACGCTTTATCATGTGATTTGTCAAGAGTCGGAATTTAACTGACGATAAAATTACTTAAAAATTTTAATAAATTGAAAAAAACATTAATTTTACCTTCCATACATGGCACTTATTTACGCCGATTGCTCCGAATAAGGCCTTACATCAACTACCGCTGATATGTAACGGCTACTAGTATTCGGGACTTATTCCCAAGTATGTGAACCAAGATGGCGGACACCGGAACGTAGTATGTGTACCAGGCTACGGTTTGGCCATGATTTTATTCCAATTTTCCTTGTTTCAGTTATATTACGAGTTTGGGGACTAGACAAGTGACTCTCTTGTAGAATTTGTACTTAAAATTATGGCCTAACCTTAACCTGGTATACATACTAGGTTTCAATGTCCGCCATCTTGGTTCACATACTTCGGGAATACCTTATTGGGTGCATTGGGGGTAAACCTAGTAATCTAAGTAGAGCTAAAGAGGTAATAAGCGCTAGTATAAAGTGATATAGTGGCACTCGAGTAAGATTCCCCCTTGTAATTCCCACACATGGTAGATTTCCCACAAAAATATTGTTCGCGTGTGTTTCATCCGGGCTACTTGAGTCTGTTATATAGTTTTTATGGATATGAATTTCCGTTAAAAATATCGTTAAAATTACGTCATAATAATCCAGATTGTTACATTGTGCTTAAATAAACGTTAGCCTAGCTGTTGTTATTAAATTCATAAATTTGCATATTGAGTTGTAAGCCTCCGGCCAGTAACCAAGTCTATTATCTGCAGGTGGCTCACTCGGAAAAATTATTGCCCACCCCTGGACGTTAGCCAATCAAATTTAAAATCGGAGTATTGAATCACGTGACAATTTTTGTGACATACCGAATATTTAAAAGTATGGAAAAAAGTTTGTGTGAGTATGAACGAAAAGGTTGCACAATCACCTATATTTCTAGCTCCCGTGTGTGTGATCATTGCCTGATTCATTATTGAGTAATTACCATGAACACTATTTAAACTTTAGTCCCACTTTTAGAATCCATGCTCTCAACGCATGATAGCTATTAATAAAAAAAAGTAAATTTACCACACAACTCACTGTTAGAGTTGTCTTTGCCACAGCTATTTACGGGTGATTGACGTCGGCATACTGTGCTATCCATCGAAGTGATCGGCTTAATATATATTATACTAAGCTTGTCCGGCTTGCCCTGCGCAAGCAGCCATTGATATCTACTAATAATGTTTTAGAGAAGGGGGGTGTTCCCAAATTTAGGGGGTGGTTGAAGTTTCGTTATTAGTGTTAAAACTATTTGTAACTTTCAAATATGGATTATGTATTTGACTGATGATTTAAACCGTCATATGAGACACTTTCAGAATATTCAAATACATTTTTATTTACCTTAAGAATTATAGTATGGCGTCACACCTATAAATTAGGGTAAGTTTGAAATTTTAGGAGGGGAATGTTCGCCACTTATATGGGAATTTTAGAGAAATCCCTGCACTCCATCAGACATTGAACAGCTGGTTGCCAATAAGTAAAGACAGACGTCACATTGAATAAATATAATAAATAATTTTTATTTCCTTTTTCCAATAAATGAGCATTATTGGTGGTACTATCTTGGTTCACATACTTCGGGAATAACTTATTGGGTGCATTGGGGGTAAACCTAGCAATCTAAGTAAAGTGCTGGAAAGTTACGAACCGCTGCTATAAAGTGATATAGTGGGACTCGAGATATATTCTCCCGTGTAATTCCTTCACAAAGTAGATTTCACAAAAAAAATATTGTTCGTGTGTGTACAATACGTCATTCAATCGAATTTCAAATCGGGGTACCAAATGACGCTGCAATATATCTGACATTATAACATATTTTTAGGTTTAGGCTGTTGATGGGCGCCAGATGCTTCCATGCAGTCACTTCTTTGCTCCTTTTTTTATTGGCCTTAGCTGCTGCCTTGGTTTCTTTCACATTCCCGGTCGTGTCTGCCTAAATTACGACTATAGTTTTTATAGATATAAATTTCCGTCGAAAATATCAATAAAAACTACGTCATATTAATCCCATTGGTCACATTGTGCTCATTAAATAAACGTTAGCCTAGCTCAGTGGTTCCCAAGCATCGTTATGGGGCACATCAGTGTGCCGCGGAATGATTATTGGTGTGTGGCGAAGAGATTTGATTTTTGAATTTATTTCTAGTGATTCCAATGGAAAGTTAGCATATGGACATGCAGACGCGCATTTTCATTTAAAACTTGGAAAGTAGATGAGAGTGAATCAAGTGTGTGTGCGCGCGCAAGACAATCCACACCGAACCGTGGGGTGGAGACTTTTCATAATTTTTGGATGGGGGGTGGGGCGAACTTGAAATAATAACCGAGAAACACCGCGCCGTGTATCGTTACGTAGAATTGACGATTATTCCATATTTCGAACACAAAAACGGTCATCTTTATTACATGTGATAATAAGAAGGGTATAACGTGGAACGGGGAAAATAAAACAAAACCGAAGCACGTGATCAACATTGCGTTGGAAGACCGCGTATTACCCGTGCGCCGCGCATCTTTTACAATAACGTGAGATGCTCCGAAGGCGCTCTTGTGTATATTATTGTGAGGAATTACAAAGCCGAAACAACACGTGTTTAAATATAGACGAAATTATTGTAAAGCGACCCTTATCTGATCTTCTTTGTTTATTAGTATTTTATATCAAAATGGCTTCAGATTAGAAAATGTTCATGTTTCGTGATAGGTGTGCCGCGAATATTTAAAGTGCTGATTAGTGTATCGCGATATACAAAAGGTTGGGAACCGCTGGGCCGTAGCCGTTGTAATTGAACTTTATTTTATAATATTGAGTTTAAAGGCTCCGGCCCAGTAACCAAGTCTATTATCTGCAGTTGGCCCACTCGGAAAAATTATTGCCCACCCCTGGACGTTAGCCAATCAAATTTAAAGTCGGAGTACCGAATCACGTGGCAATATTTGTGACATACCGAAT